CGCCGCGAAAGCCTTGCGCTCCCCGAGCCGTCCGCTGCTGCTGGCTGCTCATTTGCCGGTGACCGGAGGTGAGCAGCGTGGGCAGGGAGGAGGGGGCGCGTAGGGTCTCCGTCTGTGCGTCCGCTGAAAGACACCCAGGCCGGCTCCCGCTGACACTGCCAGGTTCCCCAAGGAAAGCCCATTACTTGCGCCCGTGGTCCCGCGGCACAGTGTCCAGTCTCGCCAAGCAGGTCCTTCCCTTTTCTTTTCTCTGACCCCTCCGACTCTTCTTTTCCTCCCAGGCCCCCGCTCGCTGCACTTCCTCTGCTTAGAGCTGCGCGTTTGCCAGAGTTCAGCGGACCTCCGGGAGCGCTTGAACCCAAAGCCCCATTTCACAGATGAGAATACCGAGACCCCCTGGAAGAAGTGACTGGTGCTTCCTCCCCTCGCTCTGGGTCTTTCTTGCCCTTCTCCTCTCCGCTTTCCTCGGTCTCACCCCGGTTGTAGCTCCCCGCCCCCGCGCCGCCCGCGTTCCCTATCCTCCCGCCGAGGCTGCAGCGGCCGTGGCGGGGGGAGCTGGGGCTCCTTCCCTCCCTCTGGTAAACACACCCGCCCGCCAGCCCATCCGCCACCGCTGCCCTTATAAAGTCAGCAGCCGCCAGACTTCCTGCCGAAGTCCGAGCCCCCTCCCAGGGCTGGAGGGGGCAGGTGGGTTCCGAGGTGCAAAGCCTGGTGCCCCGCGCCCTGCGGAGTGAGTGAGGGGCGCGCAGGGGAGGAGGGAACTGGGGAGAGCCCGTCCTAGGTCTCACTCCACGTGGCAGCTGTTGGCTTGGCCGGAGAGACACTAGGGTCGTGGGTCGCCTGATACGGAAAGGGAGAGAGCTTGTTGTCGCCCGGCCCCAGAGGGGAGGAGAGGTCTTGGAGGGGCAACTGGAAGATGGGGTCGTAGGGTAGCCTGGAACTTGCCCTTCTTCCTGCAACTTCTAGGGGTCTTTCCTGGCGCGAGAATCCGGACATGGGCCAGCGGTGCTTCAGAGCGCGCTCTGCCTCTTGCTGCCCTCTGGGGGCTTGGGTAAATGCGGTCTTGCTCCCCAGCAGCCTGGCCCTGCGTGCCCTGGCCTGGGTGGGAGAACCCGGCAGCCTGCCAGGAAGCTGCGGCGCGCAGACAGGACCTTCCTTGTTTCCGATAGTGGCCCAGCGGGAGCCTCGTGCCGCGTGCACCCCTGGCACTGCTAGTGTGCGCGGAGCCAGCTCCGTGGCACCGGCTGGGAAACCCAGGGCTCTATGGGGCCCCCATGAGGGGCTCCTCGAGGGCTGGCCCGAGAGGTCTCGGGTGCCACCATGATGCAGGACCCCTCCCTGGGGCCACTGGGGGGCCCTTCACCCAGCGCTTTGTTTCTGTGCAGGCTCGCGGCCAGCATGGCCCCCACGCTGCAACAGGCGTACCGGAGGCGCTGGTGGATGGCCTGTACGGCTGTGCTGGAGAACCTCTTTTTCTCTGCTGTGCTCCTGGGCTGGGGCTCCCTGCTGATCATGCTGAAGAACGAGGGCTTCTATTCCAGCATGTGCCCAGGTATGCCTGAAAATGGGCTGGGTGGGCTCTGGGGAGGGATGGCAAAGGGGTAGGTGGAAGCCGGAGAAGGTTAGGTGGCCAGGTGGGCCAGGTTAGGTGCAGAAAGCAGGGTCTGCAGTTGGACAGCCTCACTTCTCGACCTCTTCAAACTTCAGGGGAAGAATGGGTGGCACTCTGCCCACTCTGTCTCGTTTATCCAATCCAGTGGTCACTGAATGCCAGGTGTCCTGCTGGGCATCCAGACCCTGGGACTAATAGGCAGAGTCCTAAGCCTCTGACAGCCCCAGGCCTAGAGCTCTTTGAAGGAGAACTGCTGGGAGAGGAATTTCTTAATAAGCCTATCATAAGACAAGGGAGAACTGCACAAAGTGGAGTATGAATGTAAAGGGCCCCACATTCTTTCCTTTTCAGGACCTGGGAGTCCCCAGGTTTTCACATTACTCATTTGGACAAAGTTACATAGCCTTATTTCCTCTAGGAGGGCATTGTGTGGGGGGCTCTGGTTTCCACTTCAATCACCTTGTGTGAGTGGCCGGGAACCTGGGAGTGGGAATTCTGACACTCTTTGGGAGCAGTAACTACAGCCATAGGCTGTCTGCAGCTGCCTTGGGGCAGGGAGTTACCTCTGCTGGTGTCTGGGACTTGTCTCTGATGGGTGTCTTCCTATTCTGGGAAGGAGAGAGCTGTGCTGACAAGCTCTGCCTAAGGAGCTGGGTGGAAATGGAATTTGGCTCTCCTCTCTTTTTATCCCCTTTCCACAACCTCCGTGTTATGGAGTAAGCTTGGAAGGAAGGTTAGCTTGGATTTGAATCCCAGCTTCCATCACTTTTATCAGTTGGTGACTTTGGTGAGTTCCTTAAACACTGAGCTTCAGTTGCCTGGTCTTCAGAATGGGGATAATAATATCCATTCCATGGGAGTGCTGTGAAAGTCCACAGTGCTTAATAAATGTTAGTGTCCTTCTGGTTGCTCCTTGCTGCACAGCACCTGATGTGACTATGGGAGAAAACCGATTCCTTGAGGGGTGGAGATGGGGAGGCCTTGATCACTGCTCTGAACAGCAGCTGCTCCACCGCAGGATCTGCCCCATCCAGCCATGGTTATCTGTAAAGATGCAACAGGTGGCACCGAGAGATGGCGACTCTCCCATGCCTCCTGGCCCCAATTATGGGTGATAGGGGCTGGAGGAGGTGGGGTTGGCAGCCAGGCTGGGATGGCTGGGTGGGTCGGGAAGAAGAGGCCTGAGATGAAATGATACACATACCAGGGTGGCTGCAAGAACCAAGTGAAGGGCTATTAGGGACCCACGTGACATCTAAGTCCCCTGTGAGTTTATCCTGGAGATAGGAGAGACCCTGCCTGCCCTTGACACCTGCCACTGCCTCCCATGTTACTTCTTTTGTTTTCTTTTTTGAGACAAAGTCTCACTCTGTCACCCAGGCTGGAGTGCATTGGCATGATCTTGGTTCACTGCAACCTTCTCCTCCTGGGTTCAAGCGAGCTCGTCTGGCTAATTTTTGTATTTTTAGTAGAGATGGGCATTCACCATGTTGTCCTGGCTGGTCTCGACCTCCTGACCTCAAGTGACCCACCCAGCTCAGCCTCCCACAGTGCTGGGATTATAGACATGAGCCACCACGCTTGGCCTACCCCTTGTGTAACTTCTTCCTGCCTTCTCCACCTGGTGCTAGTGGTGTTTCTTTAAAATCAACTTTCTTGAAGATTACATCATACATCTGACAAATTTATATGCCTCAGTACCCACCACACAGTATTTAGAACCCCCCAAAACTTCTGCTTCTCTTTTGAGGGCTCATCCCTCCACCTGCACTTTTAAATATGTAAAATATGTAAAACAGCTTTATTAAGATATAATTTCCATGCCTTACAAGTCACCCATTTCAAATATATAATTTAACGGTTTTAGTGTATTCAGAATAGTGCAACCATCACCAGAGTCCATTTCAGAACAGTTTCTTTATCCCCAAAAGTAACTCTGTACGGATTAGCAGTACTGACTCCTCTCACCCCCACCTCCACCCCCCAAAGCACTAGGCAACCACTCATCTATTTCCTGTCATAGCTTTGCCTGTGATAAAAGTTCGATTTACCTATTCTGAACATTTCATTTAAATGGAATCTTGTAATATGTAGCCTTTTGTGATTGGCTTTTTTCACTTGGCATAATGTTTTCAAGGTTCATCCTTGTAGCATGTATCAGGACTTCTTTTTATTGCTCAATAATACTCCATTGTATGGATCAACCAGCATTCTATTGTCAGTTGATGGACATTTGGGTTGTTTTCACGTTTTGGCTATTATGAATAATGGTCTGGCTGGGTGTGGTGGCTCATCTGTAATCCACGCTCATTTCAAGGCCAAGGCAGGAGGATCACTTGAGGCCAGGAGTTTGAATCTGCAGAGAGCTATGATTGCGCCACTACACTCCAGCCTGGGCCACACAGTGAGATCCAAATGTTCTTCTGGATTTTTTTTTTTTTTGAGACAAGGTCTCACTCTGTGACCCAGGCTGGAGTGCAGCGGTGCAATCACAATTCACTGCAACTTCAACCTCCTGGGCTCAAATGATCCTCCCACCTCAGCCTCCAGAAGAGTTGGGACTACAGGCCCACATCACCACATCCAGCTAATTTTTAAATTTGTTTTGTAGAGACTGGGTCATGCTATGTTGCCAAGACTGGTCTCGAACTCCTGGGCTCAAGTGATCCTCCCTCCTGAGCCTCCCAAAGTGTTGGGATTATAGGCTTGAGCCACCACACCTGGCCCTTGTACAAGTTTTTAATGTCAACATATTCTTTCATTTTTCTTAGGTATTGCTGGTCAGTTGTAAAGGTAACTATGTTTAACATTTTGAGGAGCTGCCAAATTGTTTTTCAAAGTGGCTACACTATTTCACATTCTTAAAAATAAATTTTTTTTCTGAGATGGAGTTTCTCTCTTGTTGCCCAGGCTGGAGTGCAATGGCACTATCTCAGCTCACGGCAACCTCC